ATCTGTTAGAGCTCAGAGTCTGTGTCATTGACGACTCTCAGCTACTACCACACCAAATGCTAATAATTGTACATTTCTAACACAAAAATCCTAATATGTTTGAGTTCACCTTCAAAACAATAAATTCATGATGTATAGTTTTTGTTGGAATCATAAAGATTTAAAAGAAAAACTTAGAAATAGTTTATTTTGAGCTGCTGCAGCCTTTAAAACAAACAGCCAACAGGTTTTTGTTCCAAAAGATTTTTAGATGTTTGAAAAAAAAATCAAAATAGTAAATCATAGTAATATTGTTAATATACATAAGCAAAAGAGTAGGTCCAAAGACTGTTCCTTGTGGTACTCCACAACCAATTTTATGTACAGCAGATTCTCTATTATTAACTTCTACAAACAGCTTTCTGTTCTTTAAGTAACTTTTAATCCACTCATGTGCTCCTCATGATTCCATGTGTATAATTTATCCAGAAATATTGTATTGTGTGACGAGTTAAAGGCTTTAAATTTAATTAAAAGCTACATGTATATATGTAAACGATTCAATGACTAAATTAATAATGTTCATAATAAATGCTTTTGTTGGACAAACATAGAAAACCTCCAACAGCTGCAGTGAACTGACCTCAGAACCTCCAGTCTACAGTTTGGACTCTCCAGGAAACCACAGAGCTCAATGAGTCCAGAGTCAAACTGGTGGTTCCAGATCAGGTCCATTTCTTTCAGATGGGAGGGGTTGGACTTCAGAGCAGAGGTCAGGGAAGAACAGCTGATCTCTGACAAACTGGACCATTTTAATCTAAAAGAAAATAAAAGCTGTGAGCTGAAGGTTCAAACAGAAATCTGAACTAAATGACTGAGGCTGACAGTTTTAGAAGTGGACAGAATTAGTTTTACTAGATGTCAGAGACACAAAAAGTTTTTTAGTTGGACAAACATAGAAAACCTCCAACAGCTGCAGTGAACTGACCTCAGAACCTCCAGTCTACAGTTTGGACTCTCCAGGAAACCACAGAGTTCCTTCACTCCAGAGTCACACAGTTTTCTGTTCCTCCGCAGGTCTAGTTCTCTCAGATGGGAGGGGTTGGACTTCAGTGCAGAGACCAGAGAAGAAAAACTGATCTCTGATAAATTGCAACCCTCCAATCTAAATAAAGAATAAAAGATGTGAGCTGAAAGTCAAACTGGATCTCAGCTGATCTGTTAGAGCTCAGAGTCTGGGTCATGGATGACTCTCAGCTACTACCACACCTAATGTTAGCAAAATATGTCAGATTCACTGAGTTACAGAGATTTATATGAAGAACAAAGTTCCTTAGCTGTGGGTTGACCTCAGAAGTAAATATGTTGTGATTCTCTTTGAAAAAAAAAGTTTCCAGTGTACCTCGAGGAACACAGTCGAATGCCTTTTCCAAGTCAGCAAAACACATGTAGACTGGATGGGCAAACTCCCATGGCCCCTTGAGGACTCTAGTGAGGGTAAAGAGCTGGTCTAGTGTTCCACGGGCAGGACAGAACCCACATTGTTTCTCCTGAATGTGAGATTAACTGTGTTCAGACACTCCACTCCAGCAGCACTGAACAGACCTTACCAGGGAGGCTAAGGASAGTGAAACCTCTATAATTAGAACACTCTCTCTTGTCCCCCTTCTTGAAGAGGGGAACCACCGGAAACTATGCTGTGCATCAAGGTGAGCTCAACTATATCTAGCCGTTACTTCTCACAATCTTTGGCTCCTTCCTCACCAGACAGGTCATGTTCCAGGTCCCAAGAGCCAGCATTGGTAGGCCAGGGTCAGAGAGCCAAGGTCCCCACCTTTGACTTCTGCCCATGACTTCATGGCTCCTCCTGTGGTGGTGGGCCCATAGGAAGGCAAACCCATGTAGCTCATTCAAGCTGAGCCTTCGTAACGCACATCTGGGCAAGGGATACTGAATTCTTGGATTTGTTTTGCCCAAACAAGTGTTTTGAATCACTCACTCATTTCAAAATTTCAACTTGAACAACAGTTGAAGTTTAAGTTTTGAAATGAAGGAAACATTTCTAAATGAATCAATCCTGAAGGATCAGTGAATGATTTTAGTTGGACAAACATAGAAAACCTCCAACAGCTGCAGTGAACTGACCTCAGAACCTCCAGTCTACAGTTTGGACTCTCCAGGAAACCACACAGATCCTTCACTCCAGAGGCACACAGGTTATAGTTACAACTCAGGTCCAGTTGTGTCAGATGGGAGGGGTTGGACTTCAGAGCTGAGCCCAGAGAAGAACAGCTGATCTCTGATAATCAGCAGTTCTCCAATCTGAATAAAGAATAAAAGCTGTGAGCTGAATGTTCAAACTGAAATCTGAACTAAATGATTGAAGTGGACAGAATTAGTTTTACTGGATGTCAGAGACACAAAAACACAATCAATTCAAGGCCTAGCATTCCTTGAAGGAATGCAAGTAAAGTTGTATTTATAAAGCGCCTTTCACAGAAATATATTCACAAGGTGCTGTACAATCAGGGAAGGGGGGTGGCAGTTAAGAAACACCCATTCAAGAAGACATTTAAGACAAACATGGGGGAACAGGTGAAACCAGTCATGCAGCAAACACAGTTGTGCTACCTTTAACAACAGCTTGAAATACACAAAACGAAAGTTGAGTTAAACAACCTGCGAGAGTGCAAGGGGGGGCTTAGGTCAGATAACACATAAAGGGAAGGTAAAATGGGGCGGTCCATCCAGAGTCCAGAGTCACATGATGTTATTGCCTCTGCTCAGTTCGCTAGAGTTCAGAGTTTCCTCCTCCTCAGTCACTGGGTTCAGGCCCGGGTCCAACACAGGTGATGGGGGTGGGGGCGAATCCAGCTCTTTGTTGACATTCCATCCTGGGGAGGTTGAGATAAACACTGCACTCAAGGCTGTGCTGCTGGGAGCCAGATAGATAATCCAATTGTTTTGGAACAAAGCAGCCTTGAAATTCTTGCTGCTTTTGAAGTGTCTTAACTGCAACTCTGAGGTGGCGGGAAAAAAACATCCAAATTTGTGGTCTTCCTCGCCTCTCACCATCTRAAGCTCACCCAGATGTAATCCTTACATAATGGAGGCTCACTCCTAAGCTGTGATCCTCGTYAGAATCACATCCAGTTTGCRAATTATTTCCCCCAGCTGAGAGTCTGTGTACTTCCAGCCCGGCAGAATCCTTCAAGTGTGCCCGCCAGCTCTTCAAAGGCCCGATCCACTTTCAGGGTCGCTTTCACTTTTCGATAAATCTGGAACCCTCCTCCGCCGATCAGCAGGAATCCAGTTATCATAAATAAATATAGATCTTCCATGTCTTCGACGGAAAGTGGTGCTGGCATATCAGATTCCAGTCCCAGGTATCATACAAATCCAGCAGCAACTGTTCCACCCAGACAGCCACATTCCCCTTGTTCCAAGTGTGGAAAAACTAGTGTCAGTTGCATTCAGAGATCAGTTGACCAAATCCATAATTCCTTTAGTTTCGGATGGAAGGTGAAAAAAGCTTGAAGAAGCAAAAAGCAGCGAAGCAGGGAAGGGGGGGCAGAGAGAGCGAAAGCACGTCCTGCTCCTCTGAAGGCCGAGCAGAAAACCGAAATGCATATCATCCACCACCTTTCATCCCACAGTTTGACACTAAGATCATCTTCTGATGAGAAAGTTGGAGCGTTTTGGTCAAACCTTGTAAACCAGGTTCTGAAGGATCTCAGCTGATCTCTTAGAGCCCAGAGTCTGGGTTGTGGACCACTCTCAGCTACTACCACACCAAATGTTAGCAAAATATCTGTCAGAATAAGATTGGTAAGTGGTGGGCTGACTTCAGAGATGTAGATATTCAAACGTTACTTTCTGAACAAAAAGCCTTCAGTTGTATAGGAGGAGAACGGTTGAATAAACACAGCAGGTAATAAATGACGTTTAATAATTAATCCAGTAAAAGTTTTTTAAAGGTTTAAACAAGCAGCAAATAAGTTTTAGATCTAAAAATGTTCTCAGATGTTTAGAAAGAGAAAATTCAAAACAGATATTTTCAAGCTGAACTGTTGAAATGAAGGAATCAGTGAACTGACCTCAGAACCTCCAGTCTGCAGTTTGGACTCTCCAGTCCAGAACACAGGTGCTGCACTCCATCGTCAGACAGTTTGTTCCAGCTCAGGTCCAGATGTGTCAGTGTGGAGGGGTTGGACTTCAGAGCTGAGGACACAACTTTACAACGAGTCTCTGAGAGTCTAGCATCAGCAGCTCTGCAGATGGAGGAGGAAACACGGTCTGTCAGAGGATCTGATCCAGACTCAGAATCAACATGTCTGATTTACAGAAACATTTGGACTCTTCTGATTTTCATTTCAGCCTTTTTTTTGTTGATCCTGGTACCCATTTACCAGTAACACTGTC